ATGCTTTAATTTCATGAGTTTTTATTAAAAATAAAGAAGAACAACAGAATTTATTCAGTATTTATGTTATGTTATTTTAATTATGTTGGATTTTTTTTTCCATTGAACTGAAATAAGTAAACTTAGTAGCAAAAGTCATTAAAAGCAAATGATAAATAATTTCTTTGTATTTAATTCATGCGTTATACATATGTATATGTTAAAGTAGTATTAGTGCCTATAATAATCTATATATATATATATATATATATAAGTGGTTATAAAAAGGATTGCATTTGATATATATAAAAAATTTTATAACATATGTATGTAAAAAACATAAATATAACTATTATATAAGTAAAAATATAATATTTAAAATTCTTCATAGAAATGGCAAATCACCAAGTCATTAAAAATTCCGATAAAGGTATGAAAATCATGCAAAGGAATATAAAAACCTTTCGCAAATCAACACATTTGTCAGGCTACACATTAAAAAACCCGAAATCAACGTCACATGGAGGAGCGTTTAGCCAGAAGAGAGAGGAAAGATAAACTCCAAGAAAAACAAGAGAAACAGAGAGAGAGAGAGAGAGAGAGAGAGAGAGAGAGAGATCAGTTAAAACACTGGGAATGGGTGATCACCCGCTGACAGAAAATCACTTGGCAACGGCTGATCATTAACCGATAACACATGACATTAAAGGTTCAAACAAAGTGAAAGAGTTTAAACGCACACAAAATGTGATAAATGCCGACCACCCCATGGAACGACAACAACAAGAGGAACGGCAACAACAACAGCAACAACAACAGCTACAGCTACAACGACAACAGAAATGACAATGACAGTGACCACATCAAGACGAACAGGTGAGGCGAAAAACGAGCGGAAAATTAATAGTGTGAACGAAGATCGGCAAAAGAATACGAAGACGAGAGTGTGTGTGACAGAGTGAGAGAGAGGTGCAGTGAGAGAGGCAGAGGCACAAGCAGTAAGGCACACAAACACACACACACACACACAGATGATATCAGCATCTCAGATAGGTATCAGCTTACATTGGAGCCCCGTTTGTGGACTCTCCGCAGCCTCTCCACCTCCCCCAACAACATGACGGCAGCGAGCAGCCGGAAATTTGTCAAAATGTCAACGGGTGAAACAGTTTGTGGCATGGAGTTTTTCGTTTTGGGAGTCCCAGCACACACACACACACTCCACACACTCCACACACGCCAGACTCCAGACTCTGGACTCCAATTTTCAGGGCAGACTCAGGCTCAGGCTCGGGCTCGGGCTCAGGCTCTGAATCAAGCCACGTAGCTTTTGTAAAACAAACCATTAGCAGCTAATAAACATTAGTCATGCGACCAAAAAACGAGTAAGTGTGCTTTAGGGTTGGGTATATGACTATTAGATACCCTGTAGATTGTAAACATGGGCTGAGATGGGAGCGTATTGTCTTGATAATTATAATAGCGTTATGTTACTTAAATATATAAATTTCTAAGTACAACATTATGTAATTTTCCTTACTGATATTTATGTCTTAGAACTTGAGATGTTAAAGAATATTTTTTATATTTTTTATTTTACCCAAACTAACTTTTCTATCCTTAATTATAAATTCTTTTTTTTATCAGGTATTATATAGCTTTTGTATTTTTTTTCCCTTGTCCATTTTAAGTATCCAGCTTCGTTTTTCTTTGAGAGTCAACAACATAATTGATACTCCCAGTTCCCCAAATATGTGATCTGTACAGGGTATTGAGAGTAAGGGGCTGGAGAATCTTAGCCCGGCCCGATGATTTAGTGAGTGTAATTAAAATTTAAAGTTTCTTTCGCTCGCATATGTAAATGATCTGTGCGGAATTCCACGAAATAAATGAACAAGTTTTCTTCTCTTCTTTAATTGTTGT